CGGGGGGTGGGGTGAGGTGGGTAACCACTACCTCTCTTCCTTTGGCGCAGCTCCCGCATGGCAGCACGGATCAGTCGCCGCTCTTCAAAGTCTGTTCTTTGGTCCAACTGCAAGGTAAACCAGGAGACAGAAACACAGAAAGTGGGGCTGGAAGGAACCTTAGGGAGGTCATGTAGCCCAATCCCCTGCTCAACTTGAGTTGTCCCTATATAACCAATCTAGACAAATGTTTGCCTAACCTATTTATAAAACTGCACAAATAGCACTCTTGTACAACTACCAGTCACAGCACCTGAAACATCAAAAAAACTCCCTACCATATCACACACAAACCAAAGGGATGAGAGCACTGTCAAAGACCTGTGATTGGAAGGACAGGAAATAGCTGTGAAATACACTCAAGAGATCCAAGGAAGAGGAGCATGTCCCCTGCTACAGAAGAAGGCAAAAAACCCCCAAAGTCCATGCCAGTCTGAAGATAGAATCATAAAATCAAAGGACCAGAAGGGACCTGCAAGATCATCAAGTCCGGTCCCCTGCCATGGTCAGGTAGTTAGTGGGCTCAAACAAGCTCAACAAGGTGTTTATCCAGCCTCCTCCTGAACACCTCCAAGGATGGAAACTGCAACACCTCTGCTGGGAGTGTTTTCCAGATTCTAGTAACCCTTACAGATAAGAAGAAGTTTTTTTTTAAGTTCAGCCTAATTTTCCCTCTATTAGCTTGTGCCCATTAGTCCTTGTCCTCTCGAGGTGCCTTTCTGAAGAGTATCTCCCCTAGATCTTGGTGCTCACCCCTAACATACTTGTATGTGGAGCCTTTGGCCCGGCTGTATGAGCATTCGTGGTCATCTGGCCAGGTGCCAGGGGACTGGAAACTGGCTAATGTGGTCCCTATTTTTAAGAAGGGGAGGAAGGAAGACCCAAGTAAGTATAGGCCTGTAAGCCTCACCTCGGTGCTCAGGAAACTCTTGGAGAGGATCATCAAGGAGCATATCTGTGGGGGGCCTGCAGGGGAGATCATGCTCAGGGGCAATCAGCATGGCTTCACCAAAGGCAGGTCCTGCCTGACCAACCTGATTGCCTCTTACGACCAAGTAACTAAATCCTTGGATGATGGTGTCTTGGATGATGGAAGTCTTTCTAGACTTTAAGAAGGCCTTTGACACTGTCTCTCACTCCATCCTCATCAATAAATTAAGTGACTGCGGCATTGATGCCTGCACAGTTGGATGGGTAAAAAATTGGCTGATGGGGCACACCCAGAGAGTAGTGGTGGACGGGTTGTACTCAACCTGGCGAGATGTGAGCAGTGGGGT